GGGGGTTGTCAATACACACAAGTCAGCGGGGACCAGAAACTTTTTGGTTGCCCACATTCTTCAAAATATCTTCTTTTGTGTTCCATAGAAGAAATAAATTCATACAGGTATGGAATAACTTGAGCGAGTAAATGATAACAGAATTTTTATTTTGGGTGAACTGCCCCAGAGTTACGTGCACATATGTACTCCACAAAGCAGAAAGAAATAAACAAAATATTTTCAAGAACAACTGATTTTATTCATTAAACAACTGATAAATGACTACTGTGGACAATTACAAGACTTATGTCTGATGAATCCACATGCAGAAAAGGCATAAATCTATTTCAACTGAATTTTGAACTTGTTAACATAAACAGATACATTATAAAATTACATCTGTCTGGTTGACTCTAGTCATTAAAATATGGGAGCATCACTTCAGGCATCTTTATTTTGCAACACAGAAATTATCAAGTTAATACTGGGTCAAAGATTAAAACAATAAAAAGTGAAATAAAAATAACTTAAGATATCCACTAATTGTAAAAAAAAATTCATTTTAAATATAAAAAAATGAACAAAAACAGTTATACTTCTAAGTCAGCACAGCATATCTCTGTTTGCAAACGTAAAAGTATGAAACCAATAAAATAAACCAGTAATATTTTGCTTTTCATATTTATTCTGCATCCAGAAGTGTATATGAGCGCTTCATTTTTTTGTTTAACAATCTAGAAAGTTTGCAGCCATCAGAAGCTCCAGAGCTATTTCTGGGGCAATAGGAAATTCTGGGATTTCTGTTGAACTATTAGTATAGCGGACTTTATATGTAAAGTACATGCACACTTTAGAAAGAACGTGAGATGGGATCTCTCGAAAGTTGACCTCATTTGTTTCATTCTCAGCAAACTGGCCTGAAAACAGACAAAACAATGTTACTCTCACTTTTATGCTTTATCAAGATAAACATAAATAAAGAAAAAAATACCCAATTACAATACAAGGATCCTACAGTAGCAATGCAGGAAAACAACAATACATAAAAAAATACATAACACCTAATAAACAATGCAGCACTAATAATTTAAACTCTAACAGATAGATAGATAGATAGATAGATAGATAGATAGATAGATGGATAGATGGATAGATGTATTTTAAATTAACATAATCCACTGTTATTCGTTCCTTTTTTAACAAATACTCACCAGGACCACTAAGCATAGCTTTGATTGTTCCAGATGTAAGAGCATGTTCTCTCTTCACAATAAACTCATGGCCATCAGAGGAGATCAATTTCACGTACATGGCATCTGGCCCTTCACAGCCACCATAGGTTTTTTCTTCTCCATCTAAAATGTATTAACTCGATCATACCCTCAAACCACCAACATAACATCATGCAGAAAAAAAAACAGTATTATATCCCTTAATCTAAGAAATGTATTTTTAAAAGTCCCATTTGGTTTACTCTCCCAATAACACAAACTGACTAGGTCCAGGATAAGTAGTTAATTAATTTGTTTACAAAAACTTAAAAATGTCTTACCCATTCTTACTGCTTTCCCTTTTCAGTCTCTGAAATATTAAGAAAGAAATGAACCGTTTTAAATTAACAGAAATTAACCCCACACAAATATAATGCAGCAGCGTATAATGCAAATTTTTTTTTATTTTTTATTTTTTTTTAAGAAATAAATATTGACTGACATTTGGCACAAGAATAAAATTAGCTCCACTAGTCCTGTGGGAGTCTGGTCCATGCATGCAGTACAATAATTCATTACCTTCCCAGTTAGCTCAAGCACAGCGTACAAATCGCATTTTTCAACAAACATTCCAGTACACAGCACTCGCACGAATCAAGACTAAATAGTCATAATTAAATAAACAATATAATGTTTCAACTCACTAAGAATAAGATCGAGCTGGTGGTCCGGGCAGTTTTTTCAGTTTTCTCTCCGATAAGCTTCTGGGAACTGCTTCTTCTGTTGTCACTGCCGACAACAGGAAACAGTTGTCGGGCAGAGAATCAATGCACTTCCGTTATAGATATTACAAACGAAGAGTCCTCCTCAATATGCTTTAATAATTAATGACACATCAGAATTGTGTGTTTTCGGTTGAAGTGTCTTTAAAGTGTAATGTGTAAGATATATACTTCTTTACACCTGTGATGTTTTTTGTGCAGTCTATAATCAGATGGACTAACGTTACATGTGTGCTCGCAGACCAAATTGCTTCCGGCGGTTAGTCGTCTTGCTGTCTGAGGAAGTAGGAAAACGCCACATGATAACATGTATCAAATTGGGATTTTACAGGGGTTTCGGCGTCTGTCAAAAAACCAGCAACAGATCAGAAATCTCCAAGTCGCTGTTCGTCCGATATTACACAGCAATGGGAATATTTGCCACACTCATGCTGCGGTTTTAAGGAGGCAGGATCATTTGCTGCATGAGATGCGAAGGTCATTTTTAAAAGCCCGTGCAAAAAAGGTAGCCTACCTAGTAGAAGACTAGCAAATATGCAATAACTGGACAAAAAAGCCGGTTGTTATTTCTTTTATGTTTTCATCATTTGAATGAGCAGAGAAGAGTCCAACCAGATCCACAGATCCGGTCCAAAAACATAAAATACCTTTATTATTTAATTTTATTTATTTATTTGAGCAATTTGTAATATACAATAATAAAAATAAAATAATTGAAATAGGCCTGTCCTGCAGAAACATATCAAAAGAAAATGTAAAAATATTTCAAATGTAAACGTAAGAAAATGTAAGTATAGGCTATTTAAAATATATTTAGATCCACAGGATCTAATTAGGTGCTATTTTCAGAAATGATTATGACATATTTATAGTGCTCGAACAGCTCAACAGTTACAGCTTTTAAAAATGCACTTTATGTTTTCAAAATACATGAATTTTATTAATGTAATGTTTTATTA